AATGTTACACTGCCAGTCCTGTCCCTCCTTTAACCATGTCTCCATAATGGCAATAACATCTTAATTCCATGCAATAATCCATGCTGTTACTTCTTGCATTGAAGTAAATGCACTCCAGGCCTCCAGTCCCTCTGAGCCCCACGACTTCCCTCTGCCTACTCTTACTCTGCGCTATGCATATCCCATTCTCTCCTTTGTCCTGAGTCCCTGCACTTACTGGTCTGTTGTTCCGGTTACGACCCGATTCCACTAATCTTTAACACAGAAGATTGAATAAATTTGTATGTATGTGACTTAATACAGATTTTATGCTCCAGCTCGGTTCTCTTTCATAGCAGGAACATATTTCTGGTGTTTAATGCTAAGTTTTTAATTGTTCAAAGAGACCAGTGTTATATTTTTTGCATCAGCGAATGCATTTTTAAAGTATCAGAATGAATTATATGAACCAAAGATTTTACTATTACATTTCCTCAAAAATGATTGGCTACAGAATTCTGGGCAATTCAAGATGGAGGACAGAAAAAAATTGTGGTTGTAAGAGTTGCCTCTTTTTGAGGTATTTTCAGTGTTGGAGCTCATTTACTCAAATTGTTGGAGCAGTAAGTACTGTTTTATAAGCTGTTGTGTTATTTTGGATCTGTGAAAAAAATCAAAACAACAGCACTTTAGAAAAGGAGGAAGAGAGACAAAGCAGATACCACTTGAGGGGTGAAAAAAATAGAGGTAAACCAGCACAGCTGTGTGACCCAGTAGTGAACATTCACTGCTGACTGCCTCTGCTGTTTAGTGTCAAGTGTCTCTGGACAGCAGAGTTCAGTCGAAGAAAAATAAACAGTGAAATTCACAGCTGACATTGGAGAAACGTGTGGGGAGCTAACAGAAGGGGAGCAGCTAAGTGACTCAATTTTTAAAATGTAACCTTACTTTTTTTTTTAAATCTACAACAGACAGTAGAAAGGGGATCTCTTTTAGATTATATGTTTTATTTAGAGCTGTCTCTTGGTTAAACATTAAAAATATAAATGTTAGATATTAGGTAATCCCGGAGCAGTACTTTGAGAACTAAAACTTTGTTGTTTTTTGGGGCTGCAGATCGTTAAGGTGCAAAGATAGTATTTAGCAAAATGATGTGCTCTTCCAGTTGTATGCAGGAGGTTAGGAAGGATTTCAATGTTACCGATGGTTACGTCTGCAGGAAGTGTTTTTGGTTGCATATTCTATCAGACCACATGGATCCATTAGAGTGGCAGTTAGACGCAATGAGGAATTTACAGGAAGCAGGTGGTGTGATGGATGGCAGTTTCAGGAAGGGAGCAAAAATACAGTCAGTTGATGGGTTACCTCCAGGAAGGTAGGAGGGATAGGCAGGTAGTGCAGGAGTCACCTGTGGATATCCCCATCTCAAACAAGTATGCTACTTTGGAAAACGTGGGGGAGGGTGCACTGTACTTTCAGGAGAATGCATCACCGATGGCCAAGTTTCTGGTACTGAGACTGGCTCTACTGTGACGAGAGGTACGTCAGGTTCCAAGCGATTATAATAGCAGACTCTCTAGTCAGAGCACAGGCAGATGTTTCTGCGGCCAAAAACAAGACACCAGAATACTGTGTTGCTCCCCAGTGCCAGGATCAAGGATACCTTGACAGGGTGCGGAATATTCTCAAGAGGAACAGGGACCAGCAGAAGGTCATTGTACGCATTGGAACGAACAAAATAAGACAAGGATGAGGTGTCGAGGAGAGAATATAGGAAATTAGGCAGGAAGGTAAAAAGTAGATCCTCGATGGTAGTAATACCTGGATTAATCCCGGTGCCATGAGCTAGTGAGAGTAGGAATAGGAAGATAGAGAAGATGAATGCGTGGCTAAGGAGCAGGTGCAGGGGATCATTGGAATCAATGGAAATATTGCAAAAAGAGAGCAGTCTGAGACTGGTGCAGTTGGGAAAAGAACAAAGCAGAGAGTGAGGTACGACTGATAAATTAAACTGCATTTATTTCAATGTGAGAGGCCTGACAGGTAAGGTAGATGACCTCAGGGCATGGTTGGGAACACGGGACTGGGATATCGTAGCTATCACAGAAACGTGGTTCAGGGATAGACAGGACTGACGACTTAATGTTTCAGGATATGGATGCTATAGCAAGAATTGAAAGGGGGGAAAGAGAGGAGGGGGAGTGGCATTTTCAATTAGGGATAACATAACTTGGGAGGATGTTCCTGGGACTACATCCAGGGAAATTATTTGGGTGGAACTGAGAAATAAGAAAGGGATGATCACCTTGTTGGGATTGTACTATAGACCCTCCAATAGGCACCTGGAAATTGACAAGCAAATTTGTAAGGAGATCTTAGTTATCTGTAAGACTAACAGGCTGGTGATGGTAGGGGATTTTAACTTAACAAACATGACTGGGACTGCCATAATGTTAAGGGCTTGAATGGAAAGGAATTTGTTAAGTATGTACAAAAAAAATTTTCTGATTCAGTATGTCGATGTACCTACTAGAGAAGGAGCAAAATCTGAACTACTCTTGGGAAAATAAGGCAGGGCAGGAGACTGCAGTGTCAGTGGGGAAATACTTTGGGGTCAGTGATATAATTCCATTAGTTTCAAAATAGTGATAGAAAAGGATAGAGCAGATCTAAAAGTTAAAGGTCTAAATTGGAGTAGGACTAATTTTGACAGTATTAGGCAAGAATTTTCAAAAATTGATTGGGGAGGCAGATACTTGCAGCAAAAGGAACAGCTGGGAAACGTGAAGCCTTCAAAACTGAGACAACGAGAATCCAGAGACAGTAGCTTCCAGTAAAGTGAAGAGCAAGATTGGTAGGTGTACAGAATGCTGTATGATTAAAGAAATTGAGGTTTTATTCAAGAAAAGGAAGAAAGCACATATCGGGTATAAACAGCAGGGAACAACTGAATCCCTAAAAAAGCGTATAAGGGCAGTAGAAGTATACTTAAGTAGAGAAACCAGGAAGGCAAAAAGGGACATGCCTGTATTTGCCAAAGCTATCTCAAGCAGAATCCAAAGGGATTCTACAAATACTTGAAGACAAAAGGGTAACAAGAGAGAGAATAGGAACCTTTAAAGATTAGCAAGGCCACTTATGTGTAGAACCACACGAGATGGGGGAAGATATTAAATGAACATTTTACATCAGTGTTTACTATGGAGACGGATACGGAAGCTAGAGAACTTGGGGAAGTAAACAGCGACATTTTGAAAAATGTCTCTGTTACAGAGGAGGTGGTGCTGAACATCTTAAAATACATAAAGGTGAACAAATCCCCAGAACCTGATCAGGTGTACCCTAGAACTTCATGGGAAGCTAGGGAAATGATTGCTAGGCTGCCTACGGAGATATTTATATCATCAATAACCACAGGTGAGGTGCCGGAACACTGGAGATTGCCATTATTTAAGAAAGGTGGCAAGGAAAACCCAGGGAACTACAGACCGGTGAGCGTGACATCAGTGGTGAGCAAGTTGTTGGAGGGGATCCTGAGGGACAACATTTACATGTATTTCAAAAGGCAAGCACTGATTAGAGATAGCCAGCACGGCTTTGTGCATGGGAAGTTGTGTCTCACTAACTTAATTGAGTTCTTAGAGGAGGATTGATGAAGGCAGAGTGGTGGACATGATCTATATAGATTTCAGTAAGGCATACAACAAGGTTCCACGTGGTAGACCAGTTTGCAAGGTTAGAACACATGAAATATAGGAAGAACTAGTCACTTGGATACAGAACGTGCTCATAGGTAGGAGCCAGAGGGTAGTGGAGGGTTGCTTTTCAGACTGGAGGCCTGTGGCCAGTGGTGTGCCACAAGGCTCGGTGCTGGGTCCACTGCTTTTCATCATTTATATAAACGGTTTGGATGTGAACATAGGAGATACAATTAGTAATTTTGCAGATGACACCAAAATTGGTGGTGTAGTGGACAGCCAAGAAGTTTACCTGAGAGTACAGCGGGATCTTGAGAAGATGGGCAGGTGGGCTGAGGAGTGGCAGATAGAGCTTAATTTAAATAAATGTCAGGTGCTGCATTTTGGAAAGGCATATCAGGGCAGGACATATACACTTAAGGTTCTGGGGAGTACTGCTGAACAAACAGACCTTGGAGTGCAGGTTCCTTGAAAGTAGAGTCACAGATAGTGAAGGCGTTTGGTATGCTTGCCTTTATTGCTCAGGACAGTGAGTATAGGAGTTGGGAGGTCACGTTGTGGCTGTAGAGGACATTGGTTAGGCCACTTTTGCAATACTGCATTCAATTCTAGTTGCCCTGCTATAGGAAGGATGCTGTGAAACTTGAAAGGGTTCAGAAAAGATATACAAGGATGTTGCCAGGACTGAAGGGTTTGTGCTGTAAGAGGAGGCTGGGGCTATTTTCCCTGGAAATGTCAGAGGCTGAGGGATGACCTTATAGAAGTTTATACAATTATGAGGGGCATAGATAGGGTGAACAGCCATGGCTTTTTCTCCACGGTAGCGGAGTCCAAAACTAAAGGGCATAGGTTTAAAGTGAGAGGGGAAATTTTTAAAAGGGAGCTAAGGGGCAACTTTTTCACAAAGAGGGTGGTGCGTGTATGGAATGAGCTGACAGAGGAAATGGTGGAGGCTGGCACAATTACAACATTTGAAAGTCATCTGGATGGGTATATGAACAGGAAGGATTTAGACAGATATTGGCCAAATGCTGGCAAACGGGACTAGATTAATTTTTATAAACATATTTATACTTACATATTTTTATATTGTCATACACGAAAATAAGTACTTCTAGAAATTCTAGTAATGAACACTGTCGTAGAAACCTGCATTAAATTTAGCAATTATTGGTCCTCTTTACCCAATATCTCACCACTTGTTCAGGAGTGAAACACTTACCTCAGAGTATGCCAATGTTATTTGTTCATATAAACCTTGGTGATGGTGAATGGAATCTTCCAGATCCTGTAGTTCTGAAGGAAGCTCGACCTCTCCACAAGCCTTACACCATGAATCCACATTGCTCATGTACTGGGAAATAGAAATTTATGGTCAATGATAGATACCAGTTTTTAGCACCTTATTCCAAAAGTGTTCTTGGTAATAAATATGTCTGCTTGATGTCATTTACTTGGACTGCATCGATTACCAGGGAGCAGGTAGAAACTGCATTTTGGTATTCTTCAATGATATTAACCACTGCTAGAAGCAGCACCACACAAACAAATGCCCCCTTACCCCGCATTTCATCCATTCTTGCTTGAAATAAACGCGACATTTGCTGCTTTTATAACATTAAAATATTCTCCAATAGCATTAAACTAAGTCAGGGTGCACTTTGTTTTACAACTTCAGGAATAAAAGATTTCATGAAGTATATGTATAGTCTTTTGAGAGGCGACTCTTAAGCAAACACCGGATAAGTTCACATAGATTTTAATTTAAAAGCTCCAGGATTTTGCATTCCTACCTGCAACAAATGTCATTGCTCCTGGCCTCATCTACATAGCCCTGTATGATAATCTGTTTCAAGTATTCATTTTTTTTTAAATGAAGTCTCACATACTCTGTGGAAAAGCATGCCATGGTCAAGCAACCTGTTGCATTTACAAGGTTCTCCTCACTTGATGACAATTTTAGAGTGACAACCTCTCATCACAAATCAAAGAAAATAGATATTCCATACTCATTACAAAAATTTCCATCATGCAAATAAAAATCTGCACAAATGCCTTTTCGTCTTTTTTGCTCAATAATTTTTCCCATTATTGATACACTTCACAATTACTAGTTATTCTGTTTCTAACATCTGTTGAATTTATTCTATCCAATTTACACAGCTTTTGATGATCTTCAATTTATAGTAGATTTACCTACAAACCAATAAGTAGAAGCGATTTATTGATGATTTACTTTGTTAAACCTCTACCAGGTCTCTCCACTTATTTTATTTCTTTACATTGCTATTATTACCTCAGTGAATCGCTTCTTAATCGTAGCATTCTTCCTGAATTGAGATATCCAAATTATTAGCATTTCTCTTTACTTATATACTCTCTAGTCCTAGATATGGGTGGCAAGGTGGCTCAGTGGTTAGCACTGCTGCCTCACAGTGCCAGGGAACCGGGTTTGATTCCAGCCTCCGGCAACTGTGGAATGCTCTTCAGAGGGGGCGGTATGGACTTGTTGGGCCTAATGGCCTGTTTCCACACTGTCGGGATTCTATGATATATCTAAAACCTAGATTCCTGTATGTCCTTTGAAACCTTAATCCACACACTCCTACTTTTAAGGTTCTAAGAAGTGCAGATGTAGCCCATTAAGAGGCTGCTCTTTTAAGTAAACACTGGTTGAGTTTATATAGATGTCAATTAAGAGCTCCAGTATTTTGGTATTCCTGGAGAGTTTGATACATGGCACCAAACCACTGATCCACTCCTACTTGTAACAACTTGCATATCTGAACCTCTAAGTGTTTTGGCTATTCTAACAATTAATGTTTCCTTATTTTCCACCCAAAATTTAGTACCTGATGCTCTGCCATTAGTCACCCCTGGTTTGATGGCCACCACTAGACACATTTTCCCCTCCTCTCCCTTGTCAGCCTTCTGCAGGAACTGCTCCCTCAGGGACACCATGGTCTACAATTCCTCCAATCCCAACACCTTCCCACACCCCAAAGGCACCTTTCCGTTCAATCACAGAAGCTGTAACCCCTGCCCGTTTACTTCTAACCTCCTCACTATCTAAGACCCCAGACACATCTTCTCGATGACGCAATTTACCTGTGCTTCACTCAATCTAGTCTACTGTATTTCCTGGTCACAATGTGGTCTCCTCTACACTGAAGAGACTAAATGCAGACTGGGTGACTGCAATGCAGAACACTACATTGTCTGCAAAAATGATTCCAACCTTCTGTTTGCCTGCCAGTTCAACACACTACCATGTTCCTTGACCAACATATACGTCACAGGCATACTGCAGTGCTCCAGCAAAGCTCAGCACAAGCTGGAAGAACAACATCTCATTTTCCGCTTAGGTACCCTGCAGCCTTGAGGACTCGAGTTTAATAATTTCAGTGCCTAAGCACCTTCATCCATGCCCTTCCTGCATCCCGCACACCAAGTCTCATCATCACGTGGGCTGCTTTCACACAGCCAAGCCATTTTCACCCACTAATGGTCTCCATTAACAACATTTCTTTCTCCCGACTCCCCATTATCTATGCCTTTGTTCTGCCCAACTGCTGTTCTCTTTGGGCTCCATCTCCACCTATTCTTTCCTCCTTCCTCTCCACCTGCCATTTTCAGCATACATACCAACCTTTCCCGAGCTACAATCCGTTCTGAAGAAAGGTCAACGGACCTAAAGTGTTGACTTTGATTTCTCTCCACAAATGTTGCCAGAGCTGATAAGTTTCATCAGCTATTTCTGTTTTTGCATTAAATGTGATACTCTGTTTTTGTCCTTTGACCAACTTATCATTTCTGCTACATCCCATTAAGTGATTTACCTATATTAGCTTACCTCCTTTCTGGAACCATTCAAATGCTACTTTATTTATATTAATCAAGTCAATTTTATTTTCTGAAAGAACTCATTGTTGGACACAAATATCCTTTTTAAATACAAATTGGGTGCCCTGAATTTTATTATGCCTTCTAAACCACTACATACTACCAATGTCAGACTTACTAATCTATAGATATCTGGCTTATCACTTTTCCCTTTGTACAGAGATGCCCCTTTGGTGATCAATCTTCTAAGTTACCAAAACAGGAAATACTGGAGAAACTTGGCAGGTTTGGCTGCATTCATGGAGAGGGAAACAGAGTTAAGATTGAGTCTCTCATGATGTCCCACTACGACATGTGTTTACCATACACTGAAGCACATAACCTATTCAGTTTTGTCAGTAGAAATTTCCAGCACAGTGTAAGTCATGACATTGAAAATGTAAACTGCCTGTGGACACAAAAAGTTCTGATCATTTGTGGCCTTCCGAGTACAAATACACTGTAGAGGGATCATTATGAGTAACCCTCCAGTCCTCTGGTATTATATCCACTTTTCAAGATGAATTGAAAAACTCTGGGCAGAGCCACTTCATTTCCTCTCTGACAGGTCTTCACAGTGTGGGAAGTATATTGCCAAAGATCTTTCTACTTAGATTTCACTGTTTTTTTTTTTAAAAAAATCTGTAAATATCCTTCCCATTTCCCTCCTCTTCTTTTATCCTTTCAATGCCACTACCACACCCTTTTATGAAATATGAGGCAAACTACAAAATGTGGAGGTTGTTTAGGGAACAGTTGCTACAAGTACTGGAAAGGTTGTCCCACTGAGGCAAGGAAAGGATGGTAAGGTGAAGGAACCTTGGATGACAAGACATGTGGAACATCTAGTCAAGAGGAAGGAGGAGGCAAGGATCAGACTGGGTTCTAGAAGTCTACAAGGTAGCCAGGAAGGAACTGAAGAATGGACTTAGGAGAGCTAGAAGGGGGTATGAGAAAACCTTGGCGGATCAAGGGAAACCCCCAAGGCGTTCTATGCTTATGTGAGGGACAAGATAATGGCCAGAGTGAGGGCAGTGCCAATCAGGGATAGTGGAAGGAACTTGTGCGTAGAGTCAGAGAGGTAGGTGAGGTCCTTCATGAATACTTTGCTTCAGTATTCACTCGTGAGAGGGGCCTTGACGTTTGTGAGGACAGCATGGAACAGGCAGATATGCTCGAAAAGGTTGTTGATAGGAAGGAGGATGTGCTAGAAATTTTGAACAACATGAAGATAGATAAGTCAACTGGGCCAGACGGGATATACCCAAGGTTACTACGGGAAGCGAGGGAAGAGACTGCTGCCCCTTTGGCAATGATCTTTGCGCCTCACCATCCACTGGAGCAAGACCAGATGATTGGAGAGTGGCAAATGTCATTCCCTTGTTCAAGAAAGGGAATAGGGACAATCCTAGGAATTACAGACTGGTCAGTCTTACTTCTGTGGTGGGCAAATTATTGGAGAGGATTCTGAGAGATAGTATTTATGATTATTTGGAAAACAACAGTTTGATTAGAAATAGTCAGCATGGCTTTGAGAGGGGCAGGTCGTGCCTCATGAGCCGTATTGAATTCTTTGAGGATGTGACAAAACACATTGATGAAGGCAGAGCAGTGGATGTGGTGTATGTGGACTTTAGCAAGGCGTTTGATAAGGTTCCACATGGTAGACTCATCTAGAAAGTAAGGAGGCATGGGATACAGGGAAATTTGGCTGTCTGGATACAAAACTGGCTGTCCAATAGAAGAGAGGGTGGTCGTAGATGGAAAGTACTCAGCCTGGAGCTCGGTGACAAGTGGTGTTCCGCAGGGATCTGTCCTGGGACCTTTGCTCTTTGTAATCTTTATAAATGACTTGGATGAGGAAGTGGGAGGGTGGGTTCGTAAATTTGCTGATGACACAAAGGTTGGAGGAGTTGTGGACAGCATGGAGGGCTGTTGTAGGTTGCAACGGGACATTGATAGGATGCAGAGTTGGGCAAAGTGGCAGATGGAATTCAACCCAGAAAAGAGTGAAGTGATTCATTTTGGAAGGTCAAATTTGAATGTAGAATACAGGGTTAATGGTAGGATTCTCGGCAGTGTGGAGGAACAGAGGGATCTTGGTGTCCACATCCATAGATCCCTCAAAGTTGCTACCCAAGTTGATAGGGTTGTTAAGAAGGTGTATGGTGTGTTGGCTTTCATTGGCAGGGGAATTGAGTTTAAGAGCCGCGAGGTTATGCTGTAGCTCTATAAAACCCTGGTTAGACCACACTTGGAATATTGTGTTCAGTTCTGGTCACCTTATTATAGGAAAGATGTGGAAGCTTTAGAGAGGGTGCAGAGGAGATTTACCAGGATGCTGCCTGGACTGGACGGAAGGTCTTATGAGAAAAGGTTGAGGGAGCTAGGGCGTTTTTCATTGAAGCGAAGAAGGATGAGAGGTGACTTGATAGACGTGTACAAGATGATGAGAGGCACAGCTAGACTGGA